CACTTCTGCCAGTCGTGATGAGTATTTTATTTTCCGCTTCGTTGCATTTTTCTCTTTTCGGAAGTGGTTTGTAGTTCTCGCCTCGTAGATTGCTATTGTCTTTTCCCTTGTTTATATCCAATTTATATTAAGGAAAATGGAAAAAAAATAAAGTACAGACTTTAGATGCCAACATAAAACTACATATTCTTAGAAAGAAAAGTTTCCATTTAACCCCTAATCTTTCGGCCGGTTTGCTAAAATTGTGCGAGGGCCGACCCAGTGAATATTCATTATCCGGACTTGTATGCATAACCATCAGTCTAGACCAGTGTTTTCCAACCAGTCGCCTTCCCTGAGGGTGTGAGAAAACATTCCACGGGGTGCGAGGTGTCCATCTTGAAGACAAGCAATTCATTTATTCATTATTCATAATCAAGAAACAGGAAGAAAAGAGATATTGAATTGAAAATCCATTTATGTAAACGTTTTAAAGTTAGTTCTTTGATTTTTACATGTAGATATTTCAAGCAAGTGATTATTTTTTGTAGGGTGTATTCAAATAATCTGGGACATGTTTTCTTGTCTATATGTTTGATTTTTAACATATTAGAAAATGAAAAAAAAAATCTTTTGTTGAACAAATTTAGTATAAATTCACCTCCTTTATCCTTAAATAAGCTATAAATTTAAAGGGGGTGCGGGGACAGTAAAATTTTCTTAGGGGTGCGGGCGTAAAAAAAGGTTGGGAACCACTGGTCTAGATATATACACTATAGATAGATAGCTGAATGTATATCTGTTGGATGGATAGACAGATATGCATTTATTTCTGTGTATTTACTTGTCCGTATATTATGAATATTCACTGGGTCGGGCCTAGCACACTTTTAACAAACCGGGCGTTAATCACCTGACTTCGGCCCGTGGGTATGGTATATCCCAGAGGCTCGTCAGCATAGGTAGGCCTGCCCTGAAAGCCTGGAATGCTGTTGGGAGGATGGAGCCTATTACTAAGACGTAGAACACAAAGGAAGGACATGGAGCCTGTTACAAAAACGGAGGACATGGAGCCTGTTTTGGAGCACAAGAGAAGGACATGTGTTACAAAAACGTTTTTACAAAACGTAGAACATGGAACAAAAACGTATGGAGCCTGTTACAAAAACGTAGAACACAAGAGAAGGACATGGAGCCTGTTACAAAAACGTAGAACACAAGAGAAGGACATGGACCATGTTACAAAAACGTAGAACATGAAAAGGATAGATGTGGAAGCCCAAATACAAGGTTTGAAGTTGGCAACGAGGAGGTTCTGGGTGCGGAGAGCCCACGGCGATATCGGCGCAGGTGGGTGGACCAGGAGAAAGGATAGGCATAAAGCCATACTTGATTACTTCAAACACAAGACATAGTTCGGCCTTTGCCCCGTGGTGACGTCTCTCTCTAGTCATGACTTGATTCGGACCAGGTCGACGAAAGCGAGGTCGAGAGAAGTACTTATTTCCAAGGCCCATATACGCAAGGTCTATGTAAGTACTTATATACAAATATTTAAAAGGTCTATAAAAGTACTTATATAGTCCATGCTTATTTCAAGGTCTATAAAAGTACTTATATAGTCCATGCTTATTTCAAGGTCTATAAAAGTACTTATATAGACCATGCTTATTTCTATAAAAGTACTTATATTGCTTATTTCGTACCCATGCTTATTTCGACCTTGGGTGACGGCACGAATTCCGCTGCCGACGCAACAGACCCGAACTTTTTGATACAGACATCGGGGTTTCCTCGTCTTACAGACACGGATCCAAAGACTGACGGCCCCAGCACCCTCACCGCCTCTGTTTTGGAGGCATTGTTTCAGCCGAAGCTTTTGAACGAAACAGCCATGCCATAACTCATATCTAATGATCTTCAGTTTTCAGAATATCCTGTTGAAGGGCCTCAAAGATTCCTGCAAAACACTTCGCGACTTCGGCAATTGTGACTGGGCTTTGACCTCTGTACGCCCCCCTTTCCTAAAACTTGAATCAGCCCCTGTTAATGATACTAGTACAATACTGATAGTGATAAGAGTGGTTATGATAATGATAATAACAATAATAATGATACTAATCATAATAATGATTCTACTCCTACTGCTACTAATGATAATAATAATATCAATAATGATTTGATAATAATAATGATAACGGTGATAATTATAACAATGATAATAACAATAATGATAATAATAACAACAATAATTTTAGTAATATTAATGATGATAATAACTAACAAAGGCCAAGAGTCGACCACCGCCCGCAAAGTCCCGAAAACGCCCTCAAAAAATAATTATTTCCAATAAATCTTATCATTTTCCCTCAAAATCAAATCTGCATAATAAAACCCACCTTGTACCTCACCTGCTATGCTGTCTGCCATAACCAGCGAGTGACGAAGTGGCAGCGTTGTTCCCATGCACTGATATTGACTGTCATGTAGGCCTACTTACAGGAATGTACATATGAGAGCATGGGAATAGTTGGGGAAGGGCCTAAGGTTGCTGTCACACTAGCACTTTTTCCGTCAAATTTTTGACAATTTTATTTGACATAAATACAAACATTCTCGAATATAGCTCTTGATTTGACTGTGTTGCTGAAAAAAAAAGTTGACGGAAAGGTTTTCAGACGGAAACGATCATTACCGTCTGACTGGAATATCGACAATTCGCTCAAAAATTGACATTTCAGAAAATTGTCAAAAAATTGACGGAAAAAGTGCTAGCGTGGCACAAATTCTATAGACAACCGGTTTGTTAAAATTGTGCCATGCCCGACCCAATGAATTTTCATAAATACAGATGCAGAAATAGAGGTATATCTGTCTATATATCTGATAGATACATTTAACCATCTATTTGCAGAGTTGATATGCATGTCGAGACTGATAAATATCCATTTATTTCTTTATTTATGCTGTTTTTTTTTTCTCAAGTAAAAATGATAATGATAATAGTGACATTAACTATACTAATAATATCGATGATAAAAATGACAAGAACGATGATAATGATAATAATAATGAGAATACAATGGTAATAATAGTTATGATAATGATGATCGCCATAACAGTAGTTATAAGAATGGTAGTAATAATGATGATGATAATACATATAATGAATAATAATGATTGATGATAATAATGCTAATAGAATAATCATGGCAACACCAATAATAATGATAACACCAACAACAATGCCAACAAGGATGATGATAATGATAATAACAATGATAATAAAAGTAATATCTATAATAGTAATAATAATGGCGGAAATAATGATAACGGTAATGATGATGATAATATAATTGTAATGATAATGATAACAATAACAAGTTTAATACAGTAACACTAATAACAATACCAATCATAATAATGATGATAATAATTATAGTGATAATAATAATGATGATAACTATACTACTAATAGTGCTGATGATAATAATGAACATGATAATAATATCAATGGTAATAGTAATATTACTAATGATAATGATGATTACAACAATAGTGATAATGATGATGATGATGATTAATAATGATAATGATAACAATAATAATAGTAATAATGATTATAGCAATAAAAACATTAGCAATAATAATGATGATAGTAACTAAAGAAACACTAATGATAATGATAGTAATAATGACGATAATAATAATGGAAATAATGGTAATGATAATGATAATGATTATGATGTTCATAATGATAGTAATAATGATAATAACATTAATAATAATAATAACAATAATGATGATATGGTGGCAACACGACAACTACAACTACGATAATGATAATGATAAAAATACTGGCGATAATAACAGCAAAAATAAACAGTAATGGTAAAATAAATTTAAAGTTCTTAATGGCAACAACAATGCTAGTTATGAAACAAAAACCATAAATCACAAGAGATAACATTTTAGGCCACTCGCTGCGTTCACATGCTCACGATCAGCTGATAGCTCACCTGTCATGTCAGGGTTGAGAGGAGGAGAAGGACGTTGCGCAGAATTTCTCCGGATTTTGGTGTGAAATTTGGGGTAAGATTGGATAAATTGGTTTGGTTTACTTAGTTTAGGATGTAGTAGTGTTTTATTTAGTGGGTGTGATTGGTTTAAAGGATTTTATTTGATATTGTGTAGGTTTAATAATGGATTATTCCTGTTGCAGGTATTTGAATAGTGTTTACGTGTTTGGTTTGACAGAAATTTGATACTGAATTTTAAATAATATCGAAATGTGACTAAGTATTATATCAATAAGTAGTTAGTTTTATCAATAGGTGGTGCTAGTTTATATTTAGGCAATAAATAACATTGCAGTTTACGTCATTCATCGTCATGTCAGTGTCATTGATAAACCTCAAACGACATTATGCAAGAGTATATGTTTGGAACATAAGTTTGCATTTAGATGACTGAAATCACGAAGATAGGAAAAGAAGATTTAATAACCAGTAAAAAGCATGAGGCAGAGAATCAAAGTAAAGCCACAATTGCTTGTCAAATTCTGCAATGCTGCAACCTTCACACTTTGCACCCTGGTAAAGAGACCGATCGCCTCCCCTGTGTATATCTAAGCGAGCTAGAGCTTGTTTACTTCTTGGTAAATTTTTACAGTACGGACACACTCGCATGAGACTAAGTCCCCAACTCCACGTCACAAAATTTATTCATCAGTCTAAGTTGCCGTGACTGGGTGTGCTCTTCAGGAAACTGCCCAGTCAAGATCGAGGTAAACGGCAAGATTGGGCTGAAACTCGGAAGCACCAAGTGAACTTGGACTGTGAGCTGTAGTTTTCGTGATCATTTACCGGTAAATTTACAGCGGATAATAATCAGGGTTACGGAAAAAAAGGTGTATGAAATGATTACCTTGACGTAAACTAAGACACTTTTTATCGGTGGCATAAGGTGTGCAAATCGAAAATAAAGGAAATACACGATGGAGAAGAGAGAAGATCTACCCATCTTTTTCAAGTCCTTCGCCTTGTTTACATCATTAATGTTTACAATACTATGGCCACTAAACTCATTCCTGCGATCTTTCAAGTAGTTCATGTATTACTACACGCTTGTGAAGACAATTATTTTGTAAATTTCGACATCTGATTTTCCTAATTCATATATTTTGTGCTTTCTTTTATTTTTATTAAACTATTTTTACGTGTTTTGATAGTTTTACACTATTCTTTACAAATTGTGTTTTCCACCAGGACTTTCAAGACCTTGCAACTACCATTCCTTGGCAAAATGCCTGTGAGGAATGTTTTGTTTTCAGTGTTGTGTCTATTCTGGGACCTTTGTAAAACAATATTGTGGCTTAGCAGAAGAATAGACCTTTGTAACTATCACAGCTTGATATGTGAGCCCATATGTGCCCTAAATTGCCAGAAAAAGTGACTAGAAAGCAAGCCATCCAGAGGATGGACAGAAGCGAAGGAAAGTTTCGGTAAGACTATTTACGTGCACTATATCATAAAGAAAATATATATTCCCCTTCTATATGTTGTAATCAACACCATCAAAGTTTAAAAAATGAGTGCTCTTGCATATTGTGGTTACAGGAAGCTTTTAAACTTCTTTCCCTACAGGAGGCAAAGCCCTCTGTAGGGAAACATGTCGGTTGGGAGGGGGTCCATAGGCGAAGCCCCCATGTTAGGAAGAATTTTGGTTCACAAGGTGATCTTTCTGATCGTTTGTGCATTCTTTCGTTCATTCATGCAACGTAGTGTCGAATCTTCTGTGGCTGAATCTTGTCTCTGATGGGTGCACCATTCAAAATCACAATATATCTACAGTACACATATATTTCTCTTAGAAATTAGTATTTTTCAGTGGAAAATAGACCCATTTATCTTAGAAAGAATTATTAAAGTGTGGTGTCTCAAGATATATAGGCTTTTGGTTTATTCTTTAAGGTATGTATACAGCTCTATCTTGCTGTACACACCAAGGTGAAGAGAATGTTTCCCTTGGGGTGTAGGATTGCAGAGCCTCTCATCAACCCTCCCCTCGGGTTGTCGGGCATGCTTAATCACGGCAACTTAGATTGTTGAGTAAAGTTTGTGACACGGAATTAGGTTGCTTTATTAGTCAAGACATATTGGGTGGTGTGAATTCCTGTAGATGTTACCGAAAAAGATGGGTTGGATTCCTGTATACCTTCATTTGTGGCATTACAGTTCGTGTCTGCAGAGTATTTCTTGTACCGATGACTGCAACTTTTTGTCCTTTACAAGAATATCATCTTCAATCTCCCCTACCTTAGTGCATCCATACCGTAAAGATTAATCATTAAAGCACAAAGATCATGGCTTATCTTCATATGGTCATATTCTGAACAGTTGCAAGCATTTTTGAACCTATATATATGTAGACAAAATTACGTGTAAAACTTCATTGGACAGTTTATGTACAGTCACAGTCAAAACTCTTGTTATACCTGTTTCAAATTCCGTTTTGAACATCTGCGTAACACCACACTTTTTGTATTGGGTGAGACAGATTTGGTTTCAATTCATTAAAAGACTTTAGTCCATCATTGTACCTGCTGCTAAATCTCCTCTCTTGCCTGTAGAATGATGTAGACTATAGGGCTAAATTCATGTATCCCAAGCTCACCCTTAGATTATGCTGTGTACACTTCATACCTAATTGTGCTGTTATACGTGTTCTTACCTTAGTTTTTCTATATTGCTGCAGAGTTATATTCTGCATTATTACTAGAATGCAACATTAGATTCTGATTTTATATTTGATTACAGAAGAGTAAGTACATATTATTCATAACCTAACGATTTCCACATTAAAGTATGCAAGGTTGAATATCTACACTAACTTCAATTTTGGTCGAAAATATTCTCTTTAAGTTCTTATATTAATTTGAATTTTTTTTTTATATGTAACTCAGTGTATGGTCTCTGCCTGTCCTGCAGTATTTCATATTTCATACCTGTAAGTGGGTAAAGATTGATTATTTAGAAAAAGATGTTGCATAAAACACTCTGAAAAACAATACTGCTACAACTACTTACAATGAATGATTAATAATATAATAATAATGATGATAATAATAATGATAATGATAATAATGATAATAATAATGATAATGATGATAATAATGATAATAATAATGATAATGATAATAGTATGATAATGATAATATAATGATAATGATGATGATGATAATAATAATACATGTTTCCACAGATATCCAAGGCTAACTTTGGATTACTACTTTCTGGAAAGATGAGCTGTGTACCATATATTTCAGGGGGGACCCTTTTCTGTTGCTGATTTGCTGCCGAGTGAGGTCAAGAACAGACTAACCGCTAGAAGTCAAATTATTTATTGAAGCATTTCCTCAACATTCGTGACCAATGAACTCTCCCATTGGATTGTGTGATTTCCTTTCTTGGTGAGTAAGGATGAAAAATATATCCGCCTGTAGATTGCATGCGAATAAGAAGAGGGAATTTCCTTGTTTATTTATTGTGTTTTTTCATGTGAGAATTTTAAACATTGAAATCTAAAAGTGGACAGTGTAGTTATCCAGTGTTTAAGCATTAAATTGATTAATGGTAATGTTAAATATATATATATATATATATATATATATATATATATATATATATATATATATATATATATATATATATATATATATATATATATATGGGTAATGAAGTTTATATTTGTTGAATATCAGATATGTTTATGATGTATGATATGATATGTTCTTGATATAAAGTAATTTCATAATTTTAGTTTTGTTGTATATAGGACTAATAGTGTTCTAATGAAACATGAGTGATCAGCACTTCTACTTATAGTTGTCCCTATACTTGTATGCATTTAAGTATGTGTGATTGATCTTTTTCTTTTTTCTGGGTGGGGGAGGTGGGCACAGTTTTGTATATATTTTTCTCTAGCAAGGTTTTATGAAATTTTTGATAATTTTCTTATCTTCGATATATTTTTGAGATATTAAGATGTGATATGTTTGAAGATCCTGCGGGGAAGTGATGTTGTTATGAAATTTGAACTGTTGCTATCTTTAATTTCAAGGACTCAAGGTCCCAGACATGTAAAAATAACAAATGTACTCTGTAAAACCGTTCACCAGTGTTTAAAGATAATGTTGATGCACCTTAAAATATCAGAGATGGGTTACATCGTTCACTTATCTTATCTTACTCTTGTGTACCCAGAGTAGTTATATAATAGTAACACCAAGATCAGGTTTCCTCAAGACTTTGGTGTAGGTTAGGTTTGTGTATATAACTTTGTTCTATTAGCATGTGAGCCATTTCATTCTTTGGTTGTCAGTCTACCAGATTTATATATATTTCAATGAAGTGGACGAAAATTTAGGGAGTGGATTTTCTAATTTTGTCGGATAATCTAGGATGTATCTTTTGGAAGTTGATGGTAAATGTAAACTTTTTCAGATTTTTTTTTTCCCCGCTCTTTTTACAATGGTCCGAGGGAGATGAATCCCAGTTGCGAGAGGGTCATTGAGTGAGGAAGGAGATTGACGTCTGTTGAAACCAAGCATTTTACTTAAAGGTAATAAGCGTCTTTGACTTCTGTTATATTTATAGGTTTAAAAGGACTTCAGTTGCTTCTTATTAAATTTCAAGGGATTTTTTTTTTTCTCATGCTTTTTAGTTTTTTTTCTTTTGTTTTTGTTTTTATTTTTGTACTTTATTAACATTATTTTTTCTCTGATAGATGTACAAAATTTGGTTGCTAGTAGCAAATCTTTACACAAACACACACATAGATACACACACACATAGACACACACACACACACACACACACACACACACACACACACACACACACACACACACACACACACACACACACACACACACACACACACACACACACACACACACACACACACACCACACA